CTCCTATTACCAGTTGAGTTACCTTAAGTCATCTCTACTTCTTACTCAAACCCTTACTCAAATATAAATTTGAGTAAAAACAGACTAAAAACAAGTTTTCAATATTTGACACAAACTTATACCAAATGAAGAGAGACTTATCTTTTTATTTAAATTAAGGTAGACTTAAATATTTAGTTAAATTTTTAATGGTCAGGTTTCATTATTTTAAAAGATCTAATCATTATATTTTATTTTATTATAAACTTAAATTTACCTTACTTTAAAAATTGAATTTTTTTTTTTGTAAATTTGAATTTATCCATTTAAATTTATATATTAAAAGAGTTTATCACAAGTCAAACTTTTTTTCTCATTTTTTTAGGCAAAGAACATTAGAGATGCCTCAGATTACCCTCAATATTTTCGCACACACACGATTGATATTACCAACGACTCAAAGAGAGTCTGAAGCCCTTCACTCATTCGACCATCGGCACAACCTTCGGTCATGCCTATCCCCCAAATCGTGTGCCCTGTATCTAGACACGTCCCTAGCTCTCTCTTTCTCGCTGGCCCCCTCCTCTTCCGCCTCCTTCCCCATGACCTGTAGCAACAGAACACCCAAATGATACAACATAACACTTCCAATGGAGAATCGAATCGGCACCTCTCTGACCCTCCTATTTCCAAACCCTACTCACAACAACCCTATGCAAGACTTCAATTCCCTTTTCAACCACCTCAACACCACCCTCTTGATCACCCCAATCGGCAGTCCACAAACCCTAACCAACTCATTCCCAAAACAGAGCAAAACACCAAAAACCACTCCAATGTCGCACCCAAACTCAAATTCTCCTCCACTTCCATCTCTTTTGAGTCCCAAGTGAAAAACCCAGAAAAAACCATATCACAAAATTGGCTAAAACCGGCCACCAGAGACTCCCCCAAGGTCTCTGCTCTGTTCAAGAACCTCTCTGTTTTCGAAAGAGCTCTCATTGGTGCCGCTGCTGGCGGTATCGCTGGTGCATTCACTTATGTGTGTCTTCACCCGCTCGATACCATCAAAACTAAGCTACAAACCAAAGGGGCGTCAGAACTTTACAATGGTTCTGTTGATGCCATTGTCAAGACCTTTCAAAATAAGGGAATTCTTGGGTTCTATAGTGGTGTCTCAGCTGTGATTGTTGGGTCTACTGCTTCTTCTGCTGTGTATTTTGGGACTTGTGAGTTTGGAAAGTCCATTTTATCGAAATTGCCTGAATACCCATCTGTGTTAATCCCTCCCACTGCTGGTGCAATGGGGAATATTGTGTCTTCTGCGATAATGGTGCCGAAAGAGTTGATCACACAGAGAATGCAGTCTGGTGCAAAGGGAAGGTCTTGGGAGGTTTTGTTGAGAATTTTGGAGAAAGATGGTATTATGGGTTTGTATGCGGGGTATTCAGCTACATTGCTTAGGAATTTACCTGCTGGCGTGTTGAGTTATTCTTCTTTTGAGTACTTGAAAGCTGCTGTGTTGAGTAGGACAAAGCAGGTTCATTTGGAGCCATTTCAGAGTGTATGTTGTGGGCATTGGCGGGCGCAATTTCAGCCTCTTTGACAACGCCATTGGACGTGGTTAAGACTAGACTGATGACTCAGGCTCATGTCGAGCCTATGAACAAAGTTGCTGCTGCAATGTACAGTGGGGTTTCAGCTACCGTGAAACAAATTTTGAAGGAAGAAGGGTGGGTGGGATTCACCTGTGGAATGGGGCCTAGAGTTCTTCATAGTGCTTGCTTTTCAGCTTTGGGGTACTTTGCATTTGAGACGGCTAGGCTTACAATTTTGAATAAGTATCTCAAGCATAAGGAACTTCAGAATATGTCGGTTGCTCCCATTGTCTCGGAAGATTAAAGTGGCTGTATTTTTGTCTTCGGTACCATGCTGTGTAATTTTTAGTGCCTTACTTCCCTGCTTTCTGTGCCTCCTGTTTTGCTCCATTTCATGGCTTCCCTTATTTTTGCATCCTTAGAATGTGTTTTGAAGGAGCTCATTGCATTCGGATGCATTCAATGCATAGGTTTCAATATTTGTTTTTACACTTCATTTTTCTGTTTTATTGTAAAATACAAATATTGTGTCGATGCAGCAATCTTAAATCATTGCCTTTCTAGACAAATTTGACTGATGTGCATAACATAATCAGTTAAACACTACTTTTTGATTTTTTGTTGCTAGTCAGTTTCTATTTATCTCCTACCACTTGTGGTTTTAAGTATAAAGCCGCCATTAAACCAATGATGCTTGTACACTTTGGAAGGAGACGATAAATTTAATTCTTTGATGAGTTACGTTGCAATTATTTGAGTGCTGTGCATGTTGTTTATATGGTCAATTTACGTACATGGGCTGGAGCGAGAAGATGACATCAGCATTGGGTTATTATATGAGTCTGATACGAAGGCATGGGGGTTCAGCTGGTAAGATTTTTGAGATAGCAATCGCATTTGGGTGTAAGTTCTTAAAACTTTCATTCGGAGGTATTTGACGAAGAATACTGTATTGATGACCTTATTCTTGCTGGTGTTTGTCCCTAGACATTTCATTTTTGAATCTAAATTGTCAAGACATTTGATTCTGATATCTTTTGAAGCTACAAATTGTGTGTTTCCTTATATGTTCCACTTATCAAATTTTATTAGTAATATTGAGACTACAATCAAAGCTTACTAACTCACTCCCTTATTTATTAAAAAATGTATTTACATGGGGAGACATCAGGGACTTATTCCCATGAACTGTTCCTTCTCCTTACAAATTTTCTTGACTTGGTTAACTTTTTATGGACATGATAATGGATTCATAAAGTCATTTTCATTGCCTTTTAGAATAATTGTTTAATTGTGTCTCATGTTTTTTATATCCAGCTGATGGGACTCTTCTGAAAAAGCCTATGATGAAGACACGTGTCCTCGGGGGTTTCTAGAACAATGTTGCTCGGGTTCAAGCACCATCGGCAAAAACGTCATCTCCCCCGAGGTACCTCTCATATAGGATCACATATTCGGTACATTATACAATGACATGTGTCCTCGGTCACCATGTACTCGGGAACACACCACCCCTTGGTCCCCCGAGGTGAGCCTGTCCTCGGCGCCGAGGGTCACTCCATCCTGGACGCTTCCTCTACTCCCGGATAAAGTTACTGACGTACGGGACATCAGCCTATGCCAGTCTAGACTATTCATCATGACCTCGTCTTACACAAGTAATGTCAGAACATGCTAGAATACAGAAGTCATAGTCAATACGTGACGGACGCGTGGCATATGATATCACATCAAAAACAGGCAAATCGCACGCTATTGCTGACATGCGCTTTGGGAAGCAAACAATTAATTGCACCCTTCTGTTGACGAGACCGCATTCAATGCGGTAAGGTTCGGATATAAAAGGCAATAAATGCTCCTATTACGGAGCATTTATTACATCCTTCCCGAAAGGAGCATATTGTACCGTCGGCGTCCCGACGACTCAACATTGATTGCTCGGGACCCCGAGCAGTCAATTAGAGAAGACATTCCTCGTCAAATCAATACACACGCTACCAGTGCCTGATGATCACCTACTGACCACACTAACAGCAATCATGAGTTTCTAAGGTATAAATACCCCTCCCAAAAAGGCAAACGGGTATGAAATCTCAAACTCTCAACTATGAAATATCCTCCTCAGTGTTTTCTCCTTCCTCTCTCTCATTCAAAGACTGACTAGACCGTCGGAAGGGATACGCCGGAAAACACTCCGGCGCCCTTCTAACTCGTTCTCCTTTGTTCCAGGAAATACCTTTCGCACGTACAGGATCGTTCTTCCTTTCCCAGGATCTTCCTTCGCCGTTCGAGGTTGCCACCGTTCCTTGTAGGCTGTTTCGAGCAGTGTGTTTGGCCACACGACCGGCTCACCCAAAGTTCACCAGGGGAGAGATCTGTTCCCAATATTTTATATATCGTGCAGGATCAAGCCCGCACAATCTGGCGCCGTCTGTGGGAAACGAGTAGTTTTCCTAATCTTTTCTCTAAAAAGAACAGTGACCATGGTGAACACCAGACAGAAAGGGAAAGGACCCCACCAACGGAGTCATGAGTTGCAAGCTCCCTGCCAACATGGAGGGAGGGATCGCACCAGTACGATTAAAAGTGCCTCTACTCGGTCAAGGGGGGTAACCCCTCAAACCAGTATGGGTATCAGGTCAGGAGGATCAGCCCCCTTGGCCCGTCAGCTGGCAGAGGTGATTGAAGAGAAATTTGGCGATAGATTACGTTAGCTGGAAAAGGACAATGTAAACGTCCTTAGCCGGCTCGACGAGTTTGCTGCCTCAGGCGGAGGGTCGAGGGATTCATTCCTCTCCCGAGGACTCCCCGTCCATGAGGCGGAGACAAAGGATCTAAGGAACCACCTGGATCACAAAGCAGAGAGCTCCAGGGCCCCGAAGCGACCCAAAGCCGGCGAATGCCATCTTGACAACCATTCCAGGAAAGCAAGGCCATTGGCCCTGGACGACCTCCGGCGAGGTTTATCCAGACGGAGGAAGGGAGTTGAATCCGAGGAGGACTCAACCCAATCTACACGACGCCCAGGAAACGAGGGGCTTACCGACGAACCCAGAGACTTCAGGAGGCATCCCGTAAGGGAAGAAGTAGATCTCAGAGCCCGATTAGACTCCAGGAGAAAGGGCAAGACGATCCAGGACGAGGCCGAGGACGAAGTCATGCAAACACCCTTCACGAGGGAAATCAGCGAGATGGACGTCTCAAGAAAGTTCGTCGTGCCACGGTTCAAGACCTATGATGGGCGATCTGATCCCGATGCCCATATCAGACAGTATAAGCAGATGATGTCCCTCTATCATTCGGACCAACGGTTCCTATGCCGGGTATTCCCTATGAGCTTGGGGGACTCCGCGATGAGGTGGTTCGAGGCGCTTCCCCTAAACAGTATTGGGTCCTGGAAAGAATTGACAAGGCAGTAAAGCAGACCCCGAGATAATTACTCACAGACTCCGAGATAATTACTCACAGACTGCATGTTGACCCATCTCATAAGCCAGTAAAGCAGAGGCCACGACGTATGGCCCCGCATCACACTAACGCAGTCAATGAGGAAATAGACAAACTCCTAAGAGCCGACGCCATTCGAGAGATACAGTTCTCAGAATGGCTGTCCAATACAGTATGTGCAAGAAAGAAAGGGGGGAAATGGCGTGTCTGCGTGGATTTCACAGATCTAAATAAGGCATGTCCTAAGGACGACTACCCCCTGCCGAAGGTGGACCAGCTGGTAGATGCCACAGCCGGATATGAACGAATGGACTTCCTGGATGCTCGAGCAGGATATCATCAGATCCCTCTTTATGTCCCGGACCAAGAGAAAACGGCGTTTATCACTCCGAAGGGAGTTTATTGTTATAAAGTAATGCCGTTTGGATTGAAGAACGCCGGGGCAACATATCAAAGATTGATGAATCGGATGTTCAAGAGGCAGATCGGCAACACCATGGAGGTCTACATAGACGACATGCTGGTAAAAAGCAAACGAAGTGGTGATCATCTTACAGACTTGGCGGATACCTTCTCCACTCTCAGGGAGTATGGGTTGAAGCTGAATGCAGCGAAGTGCGTCTTCGGAGTGGAGTCGGGAAAATTCCTCGGGTATCTGGTTAGTCAGCGGGGAATCGAAGCCAACCCAGATCAGATTAAAGCAATCCTGGATATTCGAAGCCCTCGCACTGTCCGAGAGGTCCAGAAACTCACAGGGATGCTAGCTGCACTTAACCGATTTGTCTCACGCTCCTCGGATAAATGCAAACCCTTCTTTGGAGCAATCAAATGTGCTGGGAAAAGTATGTGGAGCCAGGGGTGCGAGGACGCCCTGGCTGGGATCAAAGAATACCTGAGGACTCTTCCGACCCTATCCGTTCCCATCCAGGGGGAGATGTTGTTCCTATACCTGGCAGTTTCAGAATTTGCAGTAAGCGGAGTACTTGTCCGTGAGCATGAGCACCAACAGAAGCCGATTTACTACATCAGCAAGGCGCTCCTAGATGCAGAGACAAGATATCTGCCCCTAGAAAAACTGGCCCTGTCCTTGGTCACCACTGCAAGGAAACTGCGCCATTACTTCCAGGCGCACCCAATCACTGTCCTAACTGATCAGCCCTTGAAGGCAATTTTGAGGAAAGCTGAACTCTCCGGAAGGATCTCCAAATGGGCTGTAGAGTTGGGGGAGCACGACATTCATTTCAAACCCCGAACTGCAATAAAGGGACAAATACTGGCGGACTTCATAGCCGAGTTTTCGGAGGAGAATCCTGTTCTAGAAGGATCGCCTCCTCCCAACTTAGCATCTCCAACAAATGTTGAAGGATCGCCATGGCTTTTATGTGTGGATGGTTCATCGAACAGTAAGGGGTCCGGAATCGGTGTCTTGCTGACCTCTCCAGAAGGGATTATTGCAGAGCAGGCCATCCGGTTGGGGTTCAAAGCATCGAACAATGAAGCGGAATATGAGACACTCATCTCAGGACTTCGGTTAGCTGAGGCGACTGGAGTCACTAATTTGATCGTGCATTGCGATTCCATGCTGGTGGTCAATCAAGTCAATGGGGAATTCGAAACGAGGGACCCTAGGATGAAGGCGTACCATCACCAGGCGACGACCGTTATCCAAAGGTTCGACCGATTCGAAATCAAGCAGGTGTCCCGCGACAAGAACACACATGCCGACGCCCTGGCTTGTCTAGCCTCGGCAGTGGACTCCTCCCAGTCGCGCAGGATTACTATTGAATATCTTCCCACATCCTGCATTGATCATACTCTCGAGGCGATGGTCATCCAGGACGCGCCCCAGCAGCTCAGTTGGATCGACCCCTTTGTCAAATTCCTAACAACGGGAGATCTCCCGGAGTGTCCAAGGGAAGCTAGAAAGATAAGGCTGAAAGCTCCAAGATTTTGGGTCTCTTCGGATCAGAAGCTTTACCGGAGGTCTTTCTCAGGACCTTACTTGCTATGCGTCCGAGAAGATCAAGTGCAAGACCTCCTGTACGAAGTGCATGAAGGAATATGTGGGGGGCACTCTGGAGGACGATCAATGACGCATCGCATTATGTCTCAGGGGTATTGGTGGCCGCATATGCAAAGGGACGCGAGGGCATATGTCCAAAAATGCGACCAGTGCCAAAAGTTTTCCCCTGCGATCAGGCAACCTGCGGGGGACTTACATCCCCTCACCAGCCCTTGGCCATTCGCCCAATGGGGGCTCGATTTGGTTGGACCTCTGCCTAAAGC